AGATCCTATTCTGCGGCCCCTAGGCTGACTTGATTTGGAGGGGGGGGGGCAAGCAGGCCACTTGAGTTATTATTTGATTCTTTTGGAGCTGAAAGACAAACGAGAGAATACAAAATAATGCAACATCAATAATCCACTAATCAGCATGCAGCGATTATGGCGGTCTTACTTAACACCTCTGTGGTGAGAGGGGGGTATCAGGTAACTTTGCTGATAAAATTGACTGTTTCATTTTTCCCAGAGGTGGGGTGGAGCCCTGGTTTGCTGGCCTATAATAACATTAGTCTGCCTCTGCACGTCTGCCTGTGTTCCGATCCCATCGGCTTTCCCATGTTTGGATGCGTTTACCCCAGTATCCCGGTCTCTTCTTGCAGTTTAGAGACATATCATTAAGGTAATGACATCCCTAACCCGGGTTGGATCCTGAATCCCACTGTATCTCCTACCAGTTTGAGAGATTTGAAGATGAATGGATGGATAGTTTGCCTGACATAACCAGCATAAAAAGACTAAAATACAACATATGGCCTAGTCTAGTGTAACCCGTGTCAGTCCGTCCCGCCCGAAATTCTTCCTGCGTTGTGTTCTGGCGCGCAAAGATGACCGGACACCGTGCTTGGTCTGAAGACTTTTACTCCAGCTCCTCCAGCCATGTAAGAAAAGCTCTGGCTTAATTATACCACAAAGCTAAATTAACACAAAACTCCGGAATAAACAAAAAAACAGAAAAACATCTTCTAAACATTTCAGAACTCTGACGAGAAAAGAAAACTTAATACACATATATTTTTTACTTTATCAAATTTACACACATAATCCCAAAAGATCAATCAAACCAAATTAAATATTATCCCCAACAATTTCCCAGCTTGATTGTACCCAAATATTATTTACAAACTTATAAGAGAAACTTTTACCAGCAGCGCGCAACAAACGATCTTACCTCCAGCCATGTAAGAAAAGCTCTGGCTGTAGCATTTTTTCGCGCGAACCTACGTCACCACTCGGGGCACTCCCACATGCAGACTCAAGACATAGGCCTACAGGTAGGACAAAGTTACAACACGTAATTAACCAAGAAAAAGAACAGTGAAAATAAAAAAATGTAAATGTTTTGGTGAAATCCAAACTACTCGACCTCACCTGTTACACTAGCCCATAGAAAATATATAATTCTACCAGGAGGTATAACTGTACTCTGTCCACACCATTTTGAGGGCTAAGACAAGAGAAGCTTCACTGCAAAACCATGTGAACATTTTCAACAATGGTTTCATGACCTTATGAAGCCGTCATGACTATAAGGCCATAGGAGTAATTCTGAGGATGTACAATGCATTAATAAGACCTCACCTGGTTTGTTGCGAAAAAAACCTTTTAGCTCAAAGCATATTCAGTTTTGGAAATATTTGGCAATATTTTTTGTATCTATAATGAACTCATACTTGGGAAAATTATAATGAAGTAACCTATCCTGTGTTTATTTGTTTAATACAATTTTGAATTTAGTTTTACAAAGCATTATTCAATTTCTTCAGTGGACTTAGGGTTGCAAGCAAGTGCATTTCAAACATATTCTGTAATGGACTCTATCAAAACCAAGGCCAGCCAAGTTCCTATCAACTGCTGCACTATGATGTTCGACTCATGAACTTAATTCACTCCTAATATGACATTTCATGACGATTTTTTCCCTAGAAAATTCATATCTAAAAACACACTATAATCTAGTGCTATGGTGCAAAAGTGGCTTATTAATGTCACAGTCTATGAAGGATGGAGGCGAAGGCAGGCGTCGGGGAAATAGAAGGGGTTTTATTCAATAGAACAATTCAAAAGGGCAAAGAAACCAGAACGCGAGGGGTCAAAACAAGGCAGGGAGAGCAGGAGGGAAACACAGGGCACTGGGTAACCAAAGGGGTGGCGCAGGCAGCAGGATCAAACACGCAACAATACAATGACTGGACTGAGGAGCTCAGTCTTCCTGAGCACTATATACACCATAGATGAGGAGCAGACGAGAGGCACCTGGGATCATCCAGACAAGGGCTGAAACGAGAGGCACCTGGGATCATCCACATGAGGGCTGAAACGAGAGGCACCTGGGATCATCCACATGAGGGCTGAAACGAGAGGAACCTGGGATCATCCAGACGAGGGCTGAAACGAGAGGCACCTGGGATCATCCACATGAGGGTTGAAACGAGAGGCACCTGGGGATCATCCCCACGAGGGCCGAAACGAGAGGCAGGGTTAAATGAGGAACAGGTGTGACTCATTAGCGCCACACCACGGAGAACACAAGGGGAAAAGGCATGCGGGGCGTGACAATTAAGGTGCACTCAGAAAACATAGAGGCGTTACGTAGCTATGTTATTACAGTAATACAGTGAGGGGGACACACTAAGGGAGACAGGACATGGGGTCATATTGAAGATAACTTTGCTTTTAATGAGCAAATATTTAAACATAACATGACCCAAAGTTTTCATTATCCTATGGCTGTATATGATTTTCAGTGTCGCATTCTCTATAGCCAGGAGGAAAATGTCTATGTCACAAGAATCCTGCTTGGAATATTAAAGGCAGCAGGTCTGCAGTCAGTGGCATTAAAGAGACTTTCAGAGTACAGAGTAAACATTAGTTTAATAAGGTGGGGAATACTTACAATAAAGTTGTATAAAGTATTAGATTGTAGCTTCCAGTAGTTAAAAAGCTTTGTACATGTACAGAAATGGTGTCATTGTGTGCCATCAGTAGGTTTACATCTATTCAATATAAAGAAAATATAAATGATGCGATTTATTCATATTCTCGTGATAATGGCTTGGAGCTGAATTTGCTGGAATGAGGCTTTGAAGAAACACGCATATTGTACTCAAAGTGTCCTGCTACAATTCTGCAGTGATTTCTATGCCCATCCATTGGCTTTGTGAATATGTAAGATGACTGAAGAGACTACATTTTTAAAAAGAGACCCAAGATAGGCCAGTAGACATGAGATGAGTTCAACAGGTATTAATGATCATGCCAGAAGAGGTTCAGAAACACTTTGTTGGATGAGAGACAAAGCTGTTCAAATGAAGGGAAGGAATCACAAATACACAAATCCTTCTGTAGACAAGCTTCCAAACAATAACAACAACAACAAAAAACTAATATATAAAACAGCCAGTACTGGGTGACATGTGTACTTCCAAGATTAGGAACTGAGTTCCTTAGTGGATTAACAGTCTTTTTCATTTAATGAGACGTCCAAGGACATTGTAGCACAGTCCTTGCAGCTGATGTTATCGGGAGACGGTGCAGCACTGACAGTCACGTTCAAATCATCCAAAAGTGAATGTTTAGATTGGCAGCATCAGAGCTGTCTCATATCACTGAAAACAGGATAGGTCCAAAACCTATTTATATATAAACCTACATAAAATGTTAAAAGTAAAATATTAAAATGGTTTATTGATTTGTCGATGTCCTATAACAGATTTTAAATTGAAGTGTAATTATATTTAATGTTAACTTTCATTGTTTATGTATTTTTATATTTGTTACAATGCAGATAGAGCTCTGCTGGAATCGATTGTTGCTTGGCTTGCATTTGAATACAGGTTATGATGCCTCAGTATCTAGGCTTATAACATGTTTATAACACATTTTGGCAGTTTGCTCCTTTTTCTGATTCCAACCAGGATTCCTTTTCCAGTTCCATTTTTTTAGGATCAAATAAGTAATTGCCAGTTGACCCACATGTCTCCTCAGCAATACATATTTAAAGCAGGTCACACTTGTATAGAACTGATAACTAAAAGCAGCAAAAATAGCTCACAACTCTTGAAAAGAAAGTATAACTAGAAGGTAATAAGATGACTCATAACTGTTAGAGGAGTTAATAAGCTAACATTTTCTGTTAGAGCTGTTTGGAAAGTAATAAGGAAAATTCAATCAAGTGCACAAATAAGGACCTGACAGGGATTCGATGTATATTAGGCATCATTCCCAAGGGGCAGGTTGCGATAAATGCAGGGGCACATTTACTGGATGTTCCCCGAGGATCTCTCTCTATTTCTGTTTCCCATTGGATGAATTTGGTGTATTATTTTGATTATAAGCAGAAGCAAATATATTTATATGTAATTTTCTTTTTCGCAAAGAGGTATTGCTATAAATATACAGTATAGTAATAGCTCTAAATATGCAGGGGCATCATTCTCCGACTGACACACATAGCTTATCGATATGAGGAGGATCCGTGTTTTAAGTGGTTTTGCTTTTCCAGGCTTTCAGCATCAGATCCTGTATTAAAAGCACTGATGTGACTTACAGGTCACTCTAGAAAACTTCCTTTTATGACTATTAAATGTCATAATGTTCTTTGCACTCCCATTATCGTTACATCAAATCAAGAGGGCCAAAGTTGTTTTTTACGAGTTTTATGATCCAGACAGTGCTGCTTTTTGGGAATTTTAAAATGAGTAACCAAAATGTCTTTCATGTCTGTTTGGAAAAGCCATGTTCTCATTAATTCATGAGAATATAAGGGTCTGAAGAAACGATTCCCTTAAAAACACCCCCAATTTGTAATGTTGTTTATGAGTGTAATCAGAGTAATTAACCCAATAACTGCGATATCAGCGATGACAAGATTCATATCATATCAGACTTTAGATCAAACATTTAAATTATTTAAAAAAAAACAATGCACTAAGCAATGGAGTTATATGACCTAAAGTATTTTTTTTTATTTTACATTTTAAGATTTTAATTTTCAGCAACAAAATTATGCTCGGAATTGTGCAAATTCAGCAGGCTATGATTCACAATTCCTTGTAATATTACAAACATTCATAAAAACCAGGATTCTATTACTTTACCTCAAAACGTGCATTTTTGCTGGTCTAACGACTGCAAAATACTATTTTAGGCACCTGGTTAACCCCGATTTACATATAGTCTCGCTTGAACAAAGGACTATGGTAATAAATGAAGCTGAACCAGCTATAGTAATTGCACTCAGCCCTTAAAGATTTATTACTGGTCCATTAAACAGTCGCTAATAGTCCGATTCTTGTAAACTGCTACTATTCCAGTTATCCCCAGCTGGTCCATCCTTCCATACTGTTTTCTCTTTGTTATTCTTTGGATTTTATATTCCTGTGCATTGGTCTCATTTGTACTTATGTGTTGTAAATTAGTGTAAATATGAGAATTACTAAAGAGCTGATCACAAAAAGCAGGATATCTGGCCCTGAATGTAAGCATATTACATAGCAGTGAATTTTATAGGAGTCATGTTTGAGGTTTTTAATTTGAGAATGTATCAATGTGTTCCATAAAATGCTGTGAGACTAATGTAATAGAAGGTAAATGAAAAGTAAGGCAATCAATTAACTCAAATACAGAACCCTACAGAGGGGCCCTGTGTAGATATGGAAGGGGGTGGAACCAGCTGCATATTTGATGAAGTTTGCTTGAGTAATTCTAAACAGCATGACATTTCAAGATAAAAGCCTTGATGTATTACATGTATGAATTGCTAAATAGTATGTAAGATGGATGTAGTTATTTCTATTTTGTATTTAAAATTATTTCTCAATGTTTTTTTTTTTGCATTCTGCATGTCAATAAAGTTATCAGCATTTAAAGCAATGAAGGACATCCAAAATTAAATATCGTTACATAAAAAGGACAAAAATCAACAAAGGAAGCTACATATAAAGGATGTACCATTATTTGAGGAATAGGTAAAATACAGACAGATATGTAAGCAAATTCTCAAAACAGTCAACCAATAAAATAATCAAACAATGAAACAAAATAAATGCATCTATACACAATACATAAGACAACAAATTATGTTACACCATAAGCCATTATTCATGTTTCATTATATACATAATGATATACCTGTTCACATATGTATACATAACTGAAATATATAGTTGACTAATGTATGTATATTCCACAAGTCCGCCAAAGATAGACAATGGATGGATGAATAGTGTGTGCATATATATAAAATATTTTCACATACATACAGAAACAATTAAATAGTTTTAAAATGTAAACTGTAATAGTGATAAGCAGTACCTCAGGCATTAAACGTAATTCAGAAAATACAGGTCTGAGTTACAGATGGAATACAGTTTAAATACACAGTAATAATTTATATAAATTACCAAACTATGTGCATAATATATATGCATCTGTATGATACGACACTATTCTTATTTTGAATTTTAAATATTTCTGCCTGAAGCATAATATAAAACAATATAATACAACATATCTTTACTGTTTAACAAAATTACAGGAGCATAGACAATTCTCTACTATTTTGCCAATCTAAAAGCTTAGACACTCAGTTCATTTTTATCTTTAGATAGCAAAAAGAAATCTATTTATGCACTAAAAGGGACAATAACACCTGTCAAAAGTCAAATATAAGCAATTATATAGAATTTAAGGCAATGGAACGTAATTAATTTTTTTCTCTTTTTGTCTGAGAGCAATCATAAGGAAACAGGTAAATAATTAAACAAATAACCAAACAAACAAAGAGATAAATAAGACAAGTACACAAACCAAAGGCATTTGGTAAAAAGCCCCTTAGTCCCAAAAAATGTGTCAGCATAAATATCTGGTGCCCAGTTAGGCATGTGTGGGGACACCTATAACGCTACAGAGCTGTTATCTGGGTGAGTTCAGTGTTAGAGTTGCCTGGCTTGGAGAACTCCGTGCTGACCAGCGGCAGCTCCACGCCTAGTCAGGCAGGGTTGCTGTTACCGTCCACAGCCTTGCTATTGTACGGCACGTCCCGGGCGATGCTCCGCATGCGACCCGACTGTTGCCCATCAAGCCGGAAGGCAGAGGGGTAGCAGAATTCACGGAAGCAGCGCTTGAAGTTCTCGTCGAGGAAGGCGTACAGGACCGGGTTGAGGCTGCTGTTGACGTACCCCAGGGCGATGCTGAAGTGCATGAGGACCACGGTGAGCATGCTCCCCAGATTTACCCCCAGCGACTGAGCCAGCGCCATGATCTGGACAGGGGTCCAGCATACCACAAAGACAACGACCACCACCAGAACCATGCGCGTGATGCGTCGCAGGTTGCGGTCCTTCTCTTTGGATCCAGACAGGATGCGTACGCTGCGAAGCCGCTTAACCATCAGGCTGTAGCAGATGCTGATGATGGCCACAGGAATGAGGAAAGAAAACAGAAACACACAAGTCCCAAACACAAGATCCCAGTAGCTGCGTGGGTCGGGAAGTACGACGATGCACTCAATACCTGCATGATGGAAAACAATAGTAATAAGTTAATTATGAAGCAAATTATTGTGTGTATATGAGTTTGCTAACACAAGAGCACATCACACATGCACATACACAACTGGACAACAGAGTGCATCATGGTCAAAAAACACATCTAGGTTAATAGCTTATTATTATTATTGATGCTAATTTTTTCCCTGCAACCCTGACTCAGGTAAATGGTAGTTAGTTTGATGGATTATTATTATGAAGGACTAGGAAATTACGTCAAGACCTTCAAATATTTTGGCTGACAGAGGTAACTATCTGACAGAAAGAAAAGCAGACCACTGAATTCAAAATGGCAAGCATTGTTGTAAGGTGGATCTTTGTCAGGGGATAGTAAGAGTGAGAGTTACAATCTGTCATTGACTGAATGAAGTAGCTTTGAAGGATATATGGGAGCAACTGAGTGGTGCAGGTTAGTACATCAGACAGGGGAGCTGCAGCAATGCACAGGAAAAAAGACTGTGATAAATAACTCACAAATTATGCTTCCAAAAACTGGTCTCAAAAATTGATGCCAGCTTTGAACCTATTGTGAAAGATAAGAATTTCATGCAGTGGATGATCATTCAGATCAAAGCACCCTTCTGACAAACAGAGTGATGCAAAAATCTGCATATGGAATGTAGAAAGGAACCAAAATATGAGCTGTCGAGTTTCACAGTGCTGTGAAATTGCATAGCATTACAACAGAGTCTGGGGAACGAGTGTGAACAAAGAATAGCAGGTATCTAAGAATTAAGCCTGGAATTATTCGAAGGTCATCCCATCGGGAAACGGGTGGAAACAAAGCCTCTGAATGAAGCCTCTGACAGGTAGGATTACACGTGGCCTCAAGCAGCTCTGGAGTTAGGTCACATGACGGCTTATTGTTTTTTGTAAAATAGAGAGAGAGGGAGGCTGCTCCCACACAGGGGAGAAAATATACCTAAAATCAGGGTAGTATTCACTGGACAATAACCAGACCATTCATGTACGATATCCCGAAAGGGAAGTCACAACAGCAGGGCTTTCTCTACTAAAGTATTTATATTCTATTGATGTTCCTCTAACACATTAATTCTATTTATTAAGGTTATCATTTGGAAGGTGATTTTGATCCTAAGTGTTCCATATTCCTATGGTAAAAATGAATGCATTAAATTATATATATATATATATATATAAACTAATGAACTTGGGAAAATGAATATATTTTAAATTACTTTAAAAATACAACTCAAAATTTTAGTTTATACTCCTCTGATGATTTACTATTCTTTTTAAAACACGAAGTATCCAATTTGACATGTATGGGTGGCACTGCACATCACGTTTGTGTTTCATGCAATGAACAGCATCAATGTGAGTTACAGATTGCATAATATTTTGAAATCAGATATTTATTACTTAAATAAAGGTTATGTTTCCTTTTCATGTCATTAAACCAATTTTCAGTTCAAGTTTCCTCGGGGTATTATGGATGAATAAACAATATATTCATTAAATGAAACCTAGGAAAATATTAATTAATTTTATCTGGCCCCTGACAAATAAGTAGGATTCAAATACACAGTAACGCTTTACATTAACTGCACTTTCATAATGCTTTTATATTGCATTCATAAAATGTTCAGTACACCTTCATAATGTATTCATTAAGTATTCATAAAACATTCATAAACATCATGTATGTATACCTTAACATCCTAACATCCCTTAACAGTTGTAATATACATTAATAACAAACATTATATAATAATAACAAACATAATTGTATAATAATGTAATGTTTGTTATTAATGTATATTAAAGCTGTTAAGGGATGTTAGGATGTTAAGGTGTACTTGCATGCTGCTTATGAATGTTCTATGAATGCATAATGATTGTATTATGAAGGTGCACTTAATGTAAAGCGTTACCAAATACATTATATGACCAAAAGTATGCAGCCACCTTGATTAATTAGAAGAATTAATTAATTAAAAACACAAGTATGAAATCTCTGGCAACAAACATTAGTAGCAGAATGGGTGGTTGTACAGAAGAGACAATTCCACTTGGCACCATCATAAGAGGCCATTTCCCCAGCAAGTCAGTTTACCACATTTCTGCCCTGCTAACGCTGTCATGGTTCTCCGCAAGTTAAGTTAGTGTGAAGTGGAAATGCCTGGGAGTAAGTTCAGTTGAAAAGTGGCAGCCACAGAAGTTCCTGGAATAGGACCTGATAGGCTAATATCAATACCCAACCTGAATGGCAGTAAATCCCAACATCTAATGGAAAGGTTCCCCAGAAGAGTAGAGGCTATTACAGCAACAAAGGGTGAACCAACTTCATATTAATTCCTTTGGTTTCAGAATGAGATATCGGATAAGCTGGCGTCTGCATTGCTTTGGCCGTATGGTATATATAAGAACTCTGCTTCAGGAATGGAATGCAATTACCACAATGCAATCACATACAATGCACAAGGCAGGGGTATGCCCTGGATGAGAAGCCAGTCCAAGATCGCAGTTACCTTAGAACGTAATATCTACATGACCATGCTAGAACTGCAAATCTACATATATTAAAGGATCTACATAAATTCCCCTCAGGTACCTACATATTCTGTTATTTATATATTTGTTTATTTATGACCTTATTACTCTAAGTAGACTTAGATTCAGCTTAGTGTGTACAGTATATGTGCAGCTTATGATACACTGGTGTTCCATACAGAATGTTTATGTATTGTATCTTACTATCTCACTTTCCATGTCAAGCTCCAGGTGAACATGAAGCTGTAACATGACATGACTCTTTTGAAAATATATTCATTTCATTTATCTAATAAAAGCCTAAGTTGAACCCAACATCCATCCATATTCCACGCTACTCTAATACTGGGTCACAGTAAAACCCTGAATGTTATTTTCAATATTTATTGAACAAGTATTGCTTATGTAAGAAAAACCCAGAGGTTAAGTCTTACCATCCATTCATCCCTGCAACTTCTAATCGCTCATCCTCATCAGGATCACAGGGTCAAGGGGATACTTTAACATATTAATTCAATAAGCTGTGGTAGATTTGTTTAGCTACTACCAAATTTTTCTTTTTGATTACTAATCAATCTGTTACACCTTCTATAAAAAGATTTCTCCTCAATTCTTGTTTACAGAACTGGTATGAACAGCCCACTTTAAGGCTACCCAAAACATTTCTGTTGAGCTAAGGACTGGTTTTTCACTCTGCTAATGCAAAATGTAACATCTCTTACACTTAAGTGTCTCTTTAGCAAACATTCTTCAACTTCGACCCACAAACATAGGGGCCTAAAATACCACTATGAATTCAGGATTGCCTCTGATGTCAAGTCTTTTCTATGTCTATAAGCAGAAAAATTGCCCCTAACTTTCACTTACCCACCACCATGGTTGACAGCTAGGTTAAAATTATATTAGTGCTAGGCACTAGGAGATTTTCCCCAAATGTTGCAATATTGTTTCCAAAAATGTCAGTTGGATATGATGGAATGAGTCATCAAGAGTATCTTCTGCAAGCCATTGCTACTCAACTTGTGTCATAGATATAAGACATACATATAAATATCATCTGCCACAAAAAGGCTTACAGATCCTTGGATTGTGTTTGGGTTCATACATCCTGTATGACTTTTCTTGCTCCTCTGAGTGATAATTTTGCAAGACAACCACATCTCGGTGTCAGAGTCATTTTAAATCCAACCCCACTCATACGTGGTATGCCTCCTATACAGATAACACTGGATTTTTAGTAAGCTCCAGTAAACTGTTCAGTAGAACCAGTAAAGATCACATACCAGTAACTTCTACCTCCACATCCCCAACTACCATGGCAGGCACTCCAATGGCAGAAGCCAGGATCCAGATACAGATGTTGATGACTTTGGCCTTGTGTGGTGTGCGCATATCCAGTGCCTTGACCGGATGGCACACAGCTATGTATCGGTCCACACTCATCATGGTGAGGGTGAATGTGCTGGTAAACATGTTGTAGTAGTCAATGGAGATGACCATCTTGCACAGGATGTTTCCAAACGGCCAGAATCCAAGGAAGACATCTGTTCCCTGGAACGGTAGTGTGGCCAAAACAAGAAAGTCTGCCAGTGCCAGATTGAAGATGTAAATGTTAGTGGCAGTCTTCATCTTAGTGTACCTGATAGGAAAGATGAGAAAATAAGGTAAAAAAAAAAGAAAAAGAGAAATTCAGTTATTTAACAAATATGTCAAATCACCAAGGTAATTGGGTCAATGAACTGCACCTCATTATAAACAACAAAAGATGATCATTGTCAAGGGTTATAAAATACACACACACACACACACACACACACACACACACACACACACAGTACCAGTCAAAAATTTGGACACACCTACCCATAGAAAGGTATATTTGTAGTATTCTCTACATTATAGAATAATTATAAATGTGATAGGTCGAAGTATTGGGTACTGCTTTTTATATACGAAATTGTATACCTAATATTACTTTAATTAGGATAAAATTGGTCTGATGGCTTTTAGATTAGGGGGCGGAGCTAGGTGTCATGTAAGAGCGGGGCAGAACTTGTTCAGGAGATATGTTTTGCTGACATGTACGTGGTACCGGGGAGTTCAGTTTCCACACTGGTGGCATGTTTGTGCAGCTGCTTAAGGTAGCGTGGGCAAAGGCATTTTTATCCGTCATTAAGCGCACCCAGCTTATGTCACATTGGGGGTATATCGGTCACTGTGTGCCTCCGTTTTGTGGAGGTGTCTACTGGCTTAAAGGCATGTACTGTGTCTCGGTTAATATCTTCTTGTCCTAACCTTTATGTGTCAATTGGTGGAGTCGATGTTTCCTGTTTCCTGGACACTGGGTCCATGGTGTCTACAGTCACCGAGAGCTTCTTTTTGCAAAAGTCTGAACCACGAGGTTGTGATCATCTTCAGTCTTGCCATTGGCTTCAGCTTTGAGCGGCCAATGGGTTTGCCATTCCATATATTGGGTATATGGAACTGGACGTAGTACTGTGTGGTAAGGTCATCCCCCGTTGTGGTATTCTAGTAATAAAGGATCCTCCTGGAGCATCTTCAGTTCCTGGGGTTCTTGGGATGAACGTGATTAGCCAATGTTACTGAGAGCTTTTTGCTGTCCATGGTGCTTCACTTTTTGACTTGCCTTCTGTGTTGCAGGCTCCCAGTCCAATGGTTGAGGCATTGCAACAGTGTCACCAGTCCGCTATCCAGGTTTATGAGAATCCTTCTGGGGTAGTCAGGGTTTGAGGCACTCGAGTGGTTCACATCCCTGGAGGAATTTGTTGCAGGTACTTGTTCTGAGCAACTGTCTATGCAGACTGAGCTGTTTGAACCTGTAGAGTCTGACCTACCAGCTTGGTTATTAGCTCCCCCCTGTTTGGTTCAGGTGGGCAATGGGTCAGTCTATGTCCCTGTGGTGAACATAGGGGTAACTGAGGTTCTCCTCTACTCTCATACAGGGCTGGGCTCTTTAGGGTGTCTCCAAGTGGTTAGCTTGCCTGCAAGTGTTGTTGAGGTGAAGGCCGCTACAGCATGTGTCTCATCCCAAGTAACTACCAGTGCAGTATCAAACAAGGTGGAGGCACTGGATTTGTCCTCGTTGCCTGAGCAGGAGCAGAAGGAGGTCAGAAGTGTGTTGCACAGGTATAGTTCAGTCTTTTCAGCCCATGAGGGTGATCTGGGGTGTACTAATCTTATTTCACTAACTTATTTCACAAGTTCATTAAGGAGAGTAGCAGTCCCTATGCTTCCCCGGTTGTCACTGTTAAAAAGGATCTAACAATAAGACTAGAAAAGATGCCTTCCCTTTACCTAGGATTGAGGAAAGCCTTGATGCACTTTCTGGGGCTTGTTGGTTTTCAACTTTAGATCTGGCCAGCGGGTACAATCAGGTTCCAGTTTTGAAACAGGACCGGCCTAAAACTGCCTTTTGTACTCCGTTCGGGTTATTTGAGTTTAACCAGATGCCTTTTGGATTGTGTAATGCCCCAAGTACCTTCCAACGGCTGATGCAGAGGATATTTGGGGATCAGCAGTGTCAGTCCTTGCTGCTTTATCTTGATATCATTGTGTTTTCCTCATCAGTCTCTCAGCCCCTACAACCACTGGAAGTCATTCTTAGTCGACTTCAGCAGGAGGGCCTAAAGGCAAAACTGGACAAGTGTCTTCTTCCAGCGAGAGGTATACTTTTTAGGGCATGTGATCTCCAGTAAGGGTGTTTCCACTGATCCCACTAAGATTGAGACAGTGGCAAAGTGGCAGCGGCCTCGTTGTTTGTCTGAGTTGCAATCTTTTCTAGGCTTCGCCAGTTATTACAGGTGCTTTGTGGAGGGGTTTGCCAAGTTGGCAGCCCCTCTACATGAGATGATTGCCGGAAGGACCAGCATTAAGTCTAAGAGAGGGCCCAAGTGGGCATTAGACTTTGCCTGGATGACAAAGTGCGAGCAGTGTGGGGAAGCTTTGAAGGCAAAATTGGTGTCTGCTCCTGTCTTATCCTATGCAGATTTTGCACGCCCTTTTATCTTGGAAATTGATGCTAGCCACCATGGTCTTGGGGCTGTTCTGTCCCAAGAACAAGGAAGGAGTGTTAGGCCTGTTGCATATGCTAGTAGGGGTCTTCTGCCCACTGATAACAATATGGACAACTATAGTTCCATGAAGTTGGAACTTCTTATGCTCAAGTTTTGCTGCGCCAGTGGGATTGCTTGGTGGAGAGAGTGAGATTGCTGCACTGTCGTGTCTTCTGTCCCGATAGGGGTGAAGAAGGCTACCAGCTCATTTTGCCAGAAGCACTTAAGGAGGAAATGCTGACACAGCTCCATCAGGGACATAGCCATCAAGATATTGAATGAACCATGGAACTGGTTCGGCAGCGTTGTTATTGGCCTGGAATGTTCTCTGATATAAAACAGTGGTGCCAAGAGTGTGAGCGTTGTCAGGTTGCAAAGGACTCGGTGCTTGGGTCACCTGTTGGCATCTAGGCCAAATGAGATCCTAGCCATAGATTTTACATTATTGGAGCCATCTCGTAATGGGATGGAGAATGTTCTGGTCATGACCGATGTGTTTAGCAAATACACGGTGACCATTCCTATTCATGATCAGCGGGCTTCTACTGTGGCCCAGGTTCTTCTGAGCGAATGGTTTTATAAATTCAGGGTCCCAACTCGTATTCTCATACTACCCCATACCACCCTGCATGCAATGGACATTGTGAGCGTTTTAATAGAACTCTCCACAATCTTTTTCGGACCTTGCCAACATTGCAGAAATTGAATTGGGCCTCGTGTCTCCCACAAGTGCTTTTCTGCTATAATACTACACCTCATCAGGGCACTGGAGAATTCCCATTCTTAATGTTTGGTCGGGAGCCTAGACTACCCATAGACTTTCTCTTGGGTAGGGTGCAGGACCCAGTACCTGGGGAAGCTTTTGACAGTGCTTATGACAGGTTGTTGGCTGCCGCTGGTTGCCGGAAGGATCAGCATGATAATTCTGTGTAGGATGTACCTTTGCAGGTAGGCCAGTTGCTGCACCTTCGAGAGTGTGGTGTTAGGGGCCGTCGTAAGATTCAGAACCGATGGAGCACTGTAATCTACTGGGTGTTGAAGGCGCCAACCGTCGGGGGAGAAGTTTATACTATTGCCCCAGTGGACGATTTGCAGAAAGTGAAAAATGTTCATCGTGACATGTTGAAGGCTCACATCGGGCCAGTGACGGCAGTTCATTCCCCTATGGCTTGGTCTTCATGTCCCACTGCAGAACTAGCTGATGATTCTGATGATGGTGATGTGTGGTTGTTGGTTTTGGAAACCACCCGCACACCTCCACCCTCTGAGCCACGTTGTTTGGGACCTAGTGTAGGTCCTTTGGATGCTAGGTTTACTCTGGCTATACCCTTGGAGCTGGCAGTGTCTTCACCAGCTCATGTTTCACCCCCCTGCTCAATTGGACACTGAATCTGTTGTATGCTGGTCTGTGCTTTCGACAGCAGGGCAACACTGTAATGTTCACCATCTTCCCCGTACTGTCCGCTCTGTAGATAATGGTCCTGAGGAACTCCTGGCACCAGATTCTAATGCTCAGTTGGCCAATTTTAGGCCATCATTAAGCACACCCAGCTTGTGCCACATTGGAGGTATATCGGTCACTGTGTGCCTCCGTTTTGCAGATTCGGTGTTTGATGAGGTAGGTCACTTATTGCATCTTGTGAGCCTTGACTGGGTTGCAGTTCCTTGAGCTAATTCTGGTCTCTGGCCTGCTCATGGAGCTTGCGGCATTCCCTTCCCTCTGCTTTCAGGGCAGTTGTTTCAGCGTATTGGTGGATATGTGTGAGTGTATATTGCAATTTATTGCTTACTCTGGTGTGTAATGTTATTTTCTCGTTTTTGTTATGTTTCGCAGGTTCGGCTGCATATGGCAGCAGGAGTGATTGTTGCTCCCTTGGTTTCCATCTTGCAATCCCTGGCAATTCTGCTGCTTTGTCTACATTAAAGTTTTGTTTCTTTGTTTGGCGGCCCTTCCGAATGTGCAATTGGGAGGACCGCGATCACATTTGTACTGCCTCTTCTGTCGTGTGTCGGCGGTGGGGCAGTGTCTTTTTCTTTTGTTTAATTAATGTTGTGTTTTGTTTTATTGCACCAGAGCATCGGGGTTAAAGTGGGCAGCAGGCTGAGTTGTAGGAGGTGGAGGGTTTTCTTGTGTTGCACTGGTTTCCACAAGAGAGGTGTGTTCACGAGTGGCATGTAGTGTCTGGAAGGTTCCCTGTTTCCAGCGAGCCATGGTGAGGCCCAGTGCTACTCCTTGGTGTTTATTTTTATTTTAATGGCCTAATTGGCTTTTAATGTATTGAGTGTAATTATTTTTTCTATGTGCATGTGTGTGTGAGGGACGGATGTTGGCATTGTTGATCAGTACGGTCATGTAGTTGTTTTTAACCTGCCCTATTACTGTATATTGTTAAATAAATTTCTGTATTTTTATGTGGGAAAATCACGTCTCTGGTGTAACAAATTTATGTGGTCTTTATAAATTTCAATTATGAAAGGTATTCCATCTGGTTGTGCAGTCACATGAATACATCAAAACTACAGTGCCCTCCATTATTACTGGTAGCCCTTGAAAAGATTTGTAAAA